CCTCATTCCTCGCTCCTCGCCTTAGGCTAAAGTGTGACAATATCACTGTTTTAACTGCATTTTCGTGCAAATAAATGCAGCCTTGGTGAGCATGTACTTCGAAAACTTTAACAACAACAACAATATAAAAAAAATATCTTACCAACCCCAAACATGGGAATGATAGTTATGTAGACAGAATGTGAAATGTGAACCAATATAAGCCATAAATAAATAAATAAATAAACAAACAAACTATAATCAGATGTGATGAATCATACCCCTGGGAATGTTGTTTTCATCGTGGCTCATGTTTTTACTTGCAAAATATTTTTAAAATGTGCTGGTTAAGCTAGTAAACAAGCTTGATGGGTGCACCAGGACAGATATATTTACTAAAAAAAACACACACACAAAAAACTGATTAAAGAAATAAATTGCAGCATTGGCTTGAGTGTTAAGATCCCTCATGGCTTCAAACCACTACAAAGTAAAACACAACAAAACTATGAATATGATAATACGCATCAGTTAAGTAGTCATTTCAATGCTCATTTCATAGTTCAGGTATTCCCAAACTGCCAATAGTGCATTGAGTATTATCACTTATGACTCAACCCTGCTGAAACACAGCATCTGATTGTCTGTGTGGGTGAATAATGGGAGCGTAGTCTCTGCTCTAAGGAGATCTGTGGGTTTTTCAGAGTTTGTGAGTGTTTGTTTGTTTTGCGTTGAGTGACATTGAGGATGACACGCTTACTTCACAAAGAGCGCAATGGGACCCAAACCGAGGCCCCCTGCCGAGACGTGATTGATGGCAGTAGCTCCCAAAACCACCGAAAAGAATCTTTAATGAACAGACTTTCCCTCAAGATCACTGCCAAACGACGAATGGACGTAATGATGAACTAAACTCGGAGTACTGAAGCAAACAATGAAAACAGTTGGGCTCTCAGAAGCACGTTGATTAGGACGAGTACTGTGTCGAGCAAGGCCGGCTCTAAATGTAGTCTCAACAAATTAACTGACAGTGTGGAAAATGGAGTCCCTCTTCTCAGACACAGAGGTAAGATCTCTAAAAGGCAGATCTCAAAAAAACGATCTCAAGCTGATGACACGCATGCCGTCAGAGGTTTGGCACGAATGCAGCAGCACCGTCTTAGTCTCTGTCCGGCACAGGTGAAATAATTATAATGTTGACGGTGAGGTACAGTTCATATTTCTTCAATAAATAACTTGTAAGGTAATTTGAAAACTTTCTGTGAGACATAATTTTACAAAATACACATAATAAAAATAAAATAAAATAAAAAAGTTTCCCAAGGCTGGAATTTGAGCCAGAGAAAAACAGGGTTCAAACTGCTTTAGTAGGGTATTTAGCACACTTTTATATATTAAAATATTTAAATATTAATCAATAAATGCTGTTCTTTTTAGCTTACTGGTTATCAAAGAATCCTGAAAAAAAGTATCAATGCTTTTCACAAAAATATCGAGGAGTTTTACTGTTTTGACATGGAAGACTGGAGTATTGGCTGCTGGAAATCAATCTTTGCCATCACAAGTACTAAATCACATTTTAAAGGGGTCATATGACATTGCTAAAAAGAACATTATTTCGGAGAAATGACAAACAAGCGCTACTCTACACTGCTCAAAACTCGCGTTTGAATCGTCAGTGGCAAATTCTTTAAACATGAAAACGCACTTACAGTCTGTGAGTCAGAAGCGCCAGACTATCCTTGCAAAGTTGGAATTGCCCACTTTATAGAAACAGACACTGGCAGTGTAGGCTACTCTCCCAGGAAACAGTTCTCGTCCTCCATAAAATGTGCTGCACACATCTGAATATTTGGGTTGAACTGTTCCGGAACAGTGTTGTAAATACAACTTAACCACTGATTTCTAGTTGTGTCCTCTTTTGGAAGGTCAAACAAAGTCGTTTCTCTTTCATAATGAAACACTCAGCGTCTCCAGGACATGGTGGCAGCGGCAACAATACTACAGCGAGAATCAAAGTCACGCCTTCTTTCTTTGCGTAAACATTTGGGCCGTGTTATGCAAATCTAACCACACAGTGACGTAGACATGTGAGGGCACTCCAAAGAGAAAGGAAAAATTGAAATCGCATCATATGACCCCTTTAAAATATATTAAAATAGAAAACAGTTATTTCAAATTGTAATATTTCACAATATTAATGTTTTTACTATATTTTTAATAAAATAAATGCAGCCTTAGTGAGCATAAGAGACTTCTTACATTAAAAACAATTTGCATCGTTTTGTTAACTTTGTGGTTTATTATTTTGAGTCGTTTGGGACGCGGAAAAACACGGCCCTCTCAAAATATATTGCTTTACAGATCTATCACTTTTGCCGTTTAGAAATTTTCATGCAATCATGCTGCATGCATCAGAAGTTCCGCGCTCACACTACATGCGTACCGTGCCCCGAGCCCAACTGAACCCAACTCTGGCCACCTCTTCCAACCGAGCCAGCGACGGCTAAATTAACCGGAGCGATCACACTAGTCAAACGAACCAGGCTTTAGGGGTCAAACGCACTCAGGCACAGTTCAAAAAACCTAGTGTGAGTACACCCTTATTCTCCCGAATCCCACACACACGCGTCTCTACCAACCTGCACTCGCCCATCAAATGTTGTCCCGCTCCGCACTCTGTTGCGTTGGGTACCACGATAGTGCAGGTCTCTACTCGAAAGGTGCCTGTTATAATGTTATGATCAAGGCTCTGGACTCTGAGCATAACTTGTTTTTCTATTATATACAGTATATATATATATATATACTGTATATAACCTATATTAAAAATATACACTAGTCAACATCTGAAGGGGATCAAAACCTTTCATCAAAGTTGTCCTAAAACCAAAATGCGCTCTTGTCTTAGGACAAATTTGATGAACTTTTTTGATCCAAACTTCAAATGTTGACTACTGTATAACTCAAACCTTAGCTCTAATCTTGCTCCGCTAAACAATGCAAATAACGAACAACCGCTATT